GGAGCAGGGATCCGGGCGGGGTCAGCGGCGAGGTGACCCTGGGCAGACGTCGCCTCAGCTGTGGGGTCCCGAGCGCCAGGCGGGAGAGGCTGAGCCGGGGTGCGGAGTGGGGAGGGCTCGTGAGAGAAGGTCCCGGCGTGGGTTGGGGCTGGGGCACCCCGGTCTCCCCGACTTCCTGACCGCCGACTTTCGCTGCTGCTGGGAGGCGGTTACTCCCTTGGGCGCTGCCGCCTGCTTCACTCCCGGCTCCCGCAAAACCTTACGCAGAGCCCCCATGTCAACCCCCACCCAGCTCGTGATGAGGCTGCACCCCCAGGATGAGAGCAGTCGGCAGTCCAGCCGTCAGCCTCGGGGTGGGAGAAGGTGGGGTGCGTGGTGCCCAGTCGACTCCGCAAGGGCAGCACCCACCCCCGACCTTCTCCCCACTTTAACCAAGTCCAGAGCTTGAAGGTCAGCCCTGCAGCCTCTCGCGCAGCTCGTGGGTCTCCAGCAGTCTGATCTCCCCTCTGCTGGTCTCGACCTGCACCTTGGAGAGGGATAGGTGTGCTTCAGCCCTGACTCCTCTCCCTTTACCCGCCTTTGCATCCTGGCTGCACCCAGGACAGGTACCAGGACCTGCAGGCCCTGGACACTGGCTTGTGTCCTGCCCCCCATCCATTCGGGATGGCCAGAGAAAGTGTCCGATGGCTTTCCTGCCTCTCAAAAGCCCCAATCTGTGACAGAGTTGGCCCAACCCATACAAAGCTTAGTCCAGGCAGCAATGATTTGTTCCTAACCGTTGAAGGCACAGGTCCTGGGGAGAGGAGGGGGATGCAACCTAGGGTGAATTCTGTCAGTATGTGGAATCACAACGTTTTGCTGAGAGGCATCTCAGAGGTCTAGACTGGCCTGCTTTCTTTCTTTCCTTCTTTCTCTTTGGTACTGGGAATCAAACTCGGGTCCTTGAGCTTGTGAGGCATGCATGCAACAGAACCACTGAGCTAAATCCCAGGCCCTAGATTAGCTTTCTTTCAACATCCATTCAGTAAATCTTTATGGAGAATATTAGCCTCCCTATCCATATTTTCCCCTTTAAAAAAATAAATAAAAGAGATTAGGGTCTGGCTATGCTGCCCAGTCTGTCCGGGAGCTCCTTAAGGCAGGTGATCCTCCTGTCTCAGCCTTGTAGGTGCTGCCACCATGTCTGGCTCGGGGTGCTTTTAGAAACACTGACACCTTGGGACCCACCCCACCGCTCCGGGTCAGTCTCGAGGGTGGATGCAGAGCCCATCTACTGTTAAGGGTTCCCCAGGTGACCTGCTGCTGTCCTTGGTAACCACTGGGCTTGCATTCATTCATCAAGAGAAAGTGGGATTCGATCTACTGGACAGAATTGTGGAGGGTGAGTGACAGTGGCTGGGGATCGGGGGAGCTGTGGCATCACAGGAGGGGCTGTGTCTTCACTAGTTAGGGCCATTTCAAGGTGAGGGAAATGTAACACAGAGGTGCTGTGTGCTGACCTGGAGGGTGTCATTCAGAGGGAGGGAGAATGGGTGACTGCAGGGCAGCAGTGGGGAAAGACAGCCAGAGGCAGGATTTGGATATTTAAAAAACTTTTTGTATAAATTTGCATGTTCTGTGCTGCAGGTCCAGTCTCCAGGAAGGGGAGATCCGCAGAGGGTTAGGTCTGCCTTACAGCAGAAATTCCAGTGTCTACAGTTTACTGGGTATTTCCTCCTCAGCCCCACCCCTAGCTCTCAGACCACACGTAGGGTTCTGGGCACAGAAGTCTGTGAGCCTCCAGTCAGCACAGGTCTCGGTCTGAGAGTAGGGTTCCTCCCTTCAGAACCCCCCTGCGGTGAGGACAGGTAGTAGGGTCTAGGTGCAGTGGGAGGGTGGAAGTTAGAAGAGGCTGGGTTTATAAGAGTTTGGCTGAGGAAGTCTGGAAGGGGTGGGCTCTAAAAAGGGAGCCAGGATGTCCTAGTGATATAGGGGGAAGAGATGGAACACCCAAACCTACTAGGTCTGAAATGCGAGTTCGTGTTCTCTAAAATTGAAGAATGAATTCTAGGAACAACAGAGGTTAAGAGTAGGAAAAACTTATTGAGGGAAAGAAAGCTTCTGTCTAAGAGAGACAGAAGGGGGACCGGAAAGTGGGTTGCCCGCCCACCCCAATTTTCAAAGATGTTTTATACAGTAAAGCCATGTGGTGAGGTGGGTACAAAGTGGGACAAAACTAAAGGATCCAATGGAAAATTACAAGGTGGGCATGGGGTAGGGCAAAACCATGACCAACTGATAGGATTACAAATACAGTCACCCAGGTGCTATTGATTAAATGGGGGTCAAATGGGGGAGCAAGTCACATAGCAAGGGTAGGAGGATTTTCAGTAAGGGTGGGTCAGGCATATTTCCTGGAAAAACTGGGTTAAGACCTTGCCCCCCCCCGTGATTGAAACCTATATAGAATATCATTCATTGGGGGGGTTTAGCTCAGTGGTTCTGCAGCCTGCCTCACAAGCACAAGGATAAAAATTCTATCCCCAGTATCAGAAAGAAAAAAAATATTTATCAGTCACTGCTATTTATCCCCAGGGGAAGCACAAGGGTATAGTAGCTTCTCTCCTTTTACAGTTCTGGCCTTCAGTGAAGGTGTCTTGATTGTCCTCCATGTTGGCTCCTTGCTGTGCTGGCTTCTTGGAGGACGGCCCTGTCTCACTGCCTACAAGATATCTAATTAACTTACCTGTTTGCAATATTAGCTGCCTGGCCCATGGAAGAGCCTACCCATTTCCGCCCCACCTCCACCCTCCACGGTCAGGGCTCAGAGAGGTGCAGTGCCCTGAAGTCACCACCAGGGGCCAACATCCTTACTCCTCTCTGCAGTGTCTCGTCTCTTTCCCTGTTTACACGGTTTGTTAGTTCCTTTGTTTTTAGGGTACTGGGGATTGAACGCAGGACCTTCCACTTGCAAGGCAGGTGCGGTGCTAAATCCCCGGCCGGTTTACACAGTTGAGGAACACTCATTGTTCCCGCTGGCATGTCCACAGCCTCATAACCCTTTCTCTGTCATGTTTCTGAGCCCACCACTTCCTCCTTAAGGTCAGTTCATCCTCTCGTCAGTGCAGGACCTGGCAGCCTCCTGACCAGACAGCCTGACGTCTCTTCTGACCTGGGGGAATCCCACAGCCCTCCCTCACTTCCCCAGCTTCCTGAGTGACTGGCAAGAGGAAAGTGCTTTCTACTGTCTCATATCTTCTGTCTGCTGTGGTCCAGCCTAGGTTCTCCAGTTTGGTTTCCAGGGAAAACGCTAGTATGCGTGGAGTCACTTCTACAGGTTTTCTTACATGTGCCTAGAAAAGCTCTTGTCTAAGCCGGGGGATTTAGCTTTTTTTCAAACCCTATTTTGCGACCTCCAGAACTAAGTCCTAAGAGCCCTCCCCTCTCCTCTACTTTGATGAGAATGTTCTCACCTCACCCCAGACATAACCCACAGCCCTGGAACTTTCTTTTTTTTTCTTTAAAACAGGGTCTCA